AATTAACTATTTGACATTTATTGAATTTAATTGTATGTTATTGTTACATTATAATGTATTGTTGTTACGTGTCATATTATAATGTACATTTAAAATCGTCAAGATATGTAATTTTAGAATTGTCGTTCAAATAGTCCTTTAGTAAGTAATAGCATTTACTCATCAAAATTCATATTCTTTTTTTTAAATTGACTAGATTTAGCATCCTGATTATGTGGCCATACAGAAGGTACATTCATTATTGCAGTTTTTCTAAGAGTTCTTTGCAACAGAATTATAATATTGTTCTACATTTTGAACAAACCTTACCTAGACTTAAAAGGCCTTTCTGATTCAAACAATCAGCTCAGCTCTTAACTGGAAGACTGACAGACTTGTCTGGAATGAGTGAATGAGGTTAAAATGCTTTAACCTCATTCACTCATTCCAGACAACCCGTAACGCGACATATTTCTCACTGTACTGCGACCCGCATACAAAATGGCATCACGTCGTCTCACCAGTGAGCCTTGACATTAGGGTACCCGTTCCATTCTCCGACTGGAATTTATACTTAACAATTGAGTTGTTTTATTTCCTTCGAATACTTATTAATAAACTTAAGACCAGTAGTACTTATTTAGTTTATTTGTTTCAATGTTCTGTTTCATGTATTTTTCAATAAAAAAAATGTTTTTGACAATTTTGCATATTCATCAAAGTCACTACATCCGTTTAGTCTAAAAACACGTGAGTTAGGTTAGTAATTCTAAAGAAGACATGTAACGTAAACATACCAAATAAATAGTAGTAGAAGTCAATTATAAACAACAAACTAAAAAACTGTTTTTCATTTGAATTTCAAAGTTACTATAATCCATTTAGAGCACTTATAAATTTTTAAGTAACATAATTTGTAAATATTCATACTAATATTAATATTATAAATGCGATAGTGCGTCTGTCTGTCTGTCTGTTACTTCTTGAAAGCGTAAGATACAAACAAACTCACTTCCATATTTATAACTAGCTGACCCGCGCAACTTCGTCTGCGTCTCTCAATAGTAATAAATTTTCTCCGTTTTTGAAACATTCTTCATTGGTGCTCCGCTCCTATTGGTCTTAGCGTGATGATATATAGCCTATAGCCTTCCTCGATAAATGGGCTATCTAACACTGAAAGAATTTTTCAAATCGGACCAGTAGTTCCTGAGATTAGCGCGATCAAACAAACAAACAAACTCTTCAGCTTTATAATATTAGTAAAGATACAAGTATGGAGAATTTTATTTATATTTTATTTAATTTACAATTTTATTTACAATAAACATCTCAAATATATACGGACGTGTACATACATTTTTATAGGATTATAACTTATAACTCGTAAATAATTATTTTATCGAGTGAAAGAAACAAGACGGATATTATATTAAAATGAAAATTGATACTCCATTGTAACGTGTTAGTTTATTAAACGTACTTTCATGGTTTGATCGAATAAGATAAAATCCCGCCATCGACAACTTCCTTATTGCTAATATCTATGGATTAGAGTTTACAAAGTTTTGTTCCCATATGTGACGGAAGAATGCAATTGCGATGCGGCGGAAGAATACGATTGCGATTCTCGCTCCCCAGGCCATTGCCTAGGAGAGGAACACCGGGGTGGTTTTAAGTCGGTAAAAGTTCGATAGAACCCTTCGCTATTCCCAAAATGAAATCGGCAAATGGGCGAAGGACATCCATGAGGATCTTCCACCTCGTTAATAATTTAAAAAAAACAGGCTTTAGTATAGGTATATAAGCGGGTAAGACTGCAATGATACCATGGCCTAGTAGGCCTAGAAGAAGTGAGGTTGCAGGGGCCCCAACGACCCCCTCACTCATAACTCTAGAGAGAGGGCACTTAATTGGTGACAACGCACTTGTGTGTTTTGAGTTGCAGTGTTTGATAACGAAATACATCAACTGTTGTTGTGTGAACGCAATACTCAACCCATCGACATAAAAGTAATTTTGATGACTTATTAAACAACAGATATGAGATGCGATAAAAACATTCACATCGAAATATATTATACATTAATTTGAGAACATGTCCGTTTATTTGTTATAATAGCGCTGCAAAAGGAAAACTTTAAACAAACCCTATGTAAACCCAGCGTGGTATAGTAGGTCAAAACCTACTTTCTAAGGAGAGACCTATGTCCAGCAGTAGACTATTAAAGGCTATTGATGATTTATTTTACTTTTAAATATTTATCGTTAAAATCCTTTCCTAAAACCGAGTCCTGTGTATACCGTACACATTCCTGGTTTCTCTAGAACTGATTATTGTAATCATTATTAATATTTCCGAAAGAGATTGAAGAATGTTATAAGCTATATAACATCACTCTAGGATTTCTAGGAGCGGAGCAGGGACCATAAAATCGAATGAAACTTCGGGGAATCGATGGCAAATTATAGGCACGCGGATTGTCTAATGTAAGCGGGTACTATATTCTACAAGTAGGTCGTTACTCTGCACAATACCGAGCTCTACGATGCTGACAGTTATCTAAATTACTTGTGGTATTATAATACAACTATATACTATACAATGGATGGTGTAATTTAACAGGTATTACCGTACTATGTAAAGGCAAAAGTTTGGGAGTTTGTTGTTTGTATGTTTGTTACTTCTGAGAAATGTAAGTAGCGTCCCCGTGACATTAGCATATCTGATAAACCGTGGGTAACACCGCAGGGTGCAGCTAGCCATCAATAATATTAAAAAGTTTGGGAATATTAATATTATTAATACGACCGTGAGTTTGTTACTTGATTTACAGAGTGTATATTAACATTAAAAGACATGGGATAGCTTTCGTATAGCTAAACGTAGAAATAACTTAAAAAACATGATAGAAATGGTCTCTAGATGGCCAGAAATTACCACAAACTTAACTTGATGTAAAACTTTTACGAAACGTATTTAAAAGATTTGAAGCTACCCGGATATACTACGCTAATATACCACAACATTATTACAAAAGGTTACAATTAAACTATCGTTGGTGGGTACGTTGCATAAAATAGATTACGTCGCTTTCATCACGACTTGACATTTTGATACGAATTTGCCACATCCAGTTCTGCGGTTTATTATGAGATCTATAGCAATCGATGGATGGTATGTTGCTAAACCATATTAGGTAGTTAGGTACTTACTTTTGCATATAAAGGAGATTTGTACTTTAATTAAAATAAATTAAGATAATAGATGTAAAATGTCTTTATTTAACATAGCAACTTTCATTTTTGGTAAATGAATAAAGTATTTCCATTTGGCAAGGACCTTATACGAAAAAGGTCAAAAAAATATATTTTGACTGCGTAGTGGTTTAAGCGATTGCCACGCTGCTTTCTATTGCACTAAATGTTGTGGGTTCGATCCTCACATGGGACTACACTTTGTGTTATCCACTAATTGTTGTTACTACTTTTCCACTAATTGTCTAAATGTTGTTCTGAGACTGGGTGTTCTTTGTGTCCATTTCATTCATGTTTGTAAAGTCCTCCGCGACACAGGATGTATTCCTATTGCGGGAGTTGTCTTTAAAAAAAACATTTGGATTGCTCGGTTAAGCTTTTGTTAACATTTGAGTGACGAGTTTGTTTAGTTTTATCCGTGACTTGTACTGAAGATAATAATAATATAAGGCATTCAATTGATATAATTGCTTCAGTAATTACTATACAGAAAGAGCGTGACACTCCTGAAATTTATATGGCTATAATTGGAATTGAATCGGACGAACCCCGGAAAGATAAGGAAATCTTGAAACAAATCCTATACTAAACCGTCTGGCCATCGTGGTAAAGTAGGCCAAAACCTCTTTTCTAAGAAGCCTATGTCCAGCAGTGGACTATTAAAGACCTTTGATGATGATGATAAATGAAAAAAAAACATTAAAAAAACCTAGTGTTTATTTTATGTAAGTCGTAAATATACGCCAAAAAATTCAGAGGCTATATTCTGTCGAGTTCACAAGGGTCATCGAAACGCTAAAAATATTCTGAACATCATTTGCAAGCATAATATTCGAATTTATTGACTTAATTTTTACTTGGTTGATTATTTTTACTCCTTTTGAATCAGTTGGATAAAATAAGTGCGGTTAAACATAACTCTCTCTCTCCCATACTTACAATATACTGTTAGTATGGAAAGTTGGACCTACGAATGGTTTACAAATATATTATCCTATGACAGTTTAAAAAATTAAACAAGTTAGTTGTTGAAAAATTAGGCATTCATCAACAAAAACGTGTAAAACAACAACCTAGTGAAGGTTGTTGTTTTACACAGTAGATACAGGACTCTAACATACATTTCTATTTAGGCTTTAAGAAGGGTGGAATGAAGAAACACGTATTCATGAATCCCAAAAATATTGTCTTACTTCTCCTTTTTATTATTTTTATGAAAAACCTTTTTGATATCGTCATACTAATCTGATATTGCAGGAGAAAACATATAAAATAAAATGTGTAAAATATGGTCGAGTTTATTAATTTTTAGCATATTATTTATAGACAGATGATGATATCCCATCATTGAATGTGAAGAAGAGAGTTTTATGTATTAGTTGACGGGTACAAAGAGACCAAAACAAAGATGGAAGACCTCCGTGAAGGAAAACATTACAGGAAGGAAGCGGTGAAATGAAGCATGATAGAGTCGACGGAAATGATTTATCGCACCGATCTCAAAAGGTTTGGTAAAAGGTCAATACGTTAGCATACGCTAATATTCACCACGTCACCACCGTCCACTTTACTATAACTCCACTGAACCACACCACGTTCTAAATAAACGAATTATATTGCTCTTCTAATTAAATCTTTAAAATTTCCATTCGGTTTTTAATTATTGTAATCCTGTCGAGTGTATGCATAGGTAGTACGCCGATGACTTGACCCGCTGAAGATACTTTATTTTTATTAAATAAGAAAGTATATTATTTGCAAACCTCTTTAATTCTCTGTAGCAGTGGCTCCAACCAATGGGTATTGCATTCAACATGCGAGTCCAAGAAGGTCAGTACTGGCGCTGTGGCAGCGTCCGCGCCTCTCACCCTGGACCTCATCAAGCCTTCACGTTTTGAATTCCTTATCACCTTCACCTTGCGAATAGCGCGAAGAGCAGCGCCATCTTCCGCTGTGGAGAGAAATTAAAATTTAGTTAAAACAGCAATTACAGCTAAATTAATTTCTATATAGGTCAGTTTTAATACATATCTGTCGATAACACTCGATTGAATGTGGGATTCTTTTTGTTGTATGCATAAAATTATTAAGTAATATATAATTGTTTTCAGCGGTCTGGTTACCATAGTGCAGGCTCTACAAATTTTGGGATCAGACGGCCGTGTGCGAGATGTGTGAAGTTTTTATTATTATAATACTAAGATATAAAATGAACAAAGAAATAATTATGCAATCCTCCATAATTTCACTTTAGTTACGTAATTATTATAACAATTGACAATAAAACTAATTAATTTGCAGGTATTTCACGATTTATCGTGTGAATTGAAAAATTAATCGTAATACCCACAATTGTTTTTATAATTATGCGAGTAAAAAGCTTTGCAAAAATAAAACTATGGTGTAAAATTTATGATGACGTAATAATTATTTTCCTGGATTTAAAAATGAAGTTTAGAATTTTAATAGAAGTAGATTACACCAAAATCTTTTTTTTTTAATTAACTAGCTCTCGCTCACATAAAAGTTTTTCAATCCCTCGGATATCCAGGAAAAGTACTTATTTTCACAAGTACTTTTCCTGGATGAAAGGTACTTTCTTTTTTTATTCCATAGAGGTAAACAACCCACCCCGAGCAGAGCTCGGGTTGGGGGTGACACCTGGGGGTGCGGTCACCCGTCACCCCCAACCCAACTAGCAGAAGCAGGCTGGGTTGGCGGCGAGACGCGCTGCGGAGCGTGCCCTTCAGGTTAGGTAGTAGGTTGTGGTTCCCATACACGAGGGAGTCATCTACAAGCCGTAGATGGCCCAGGGTACGTCGGGGTACCAGGGTTTTATTTCCTAGGGTACATCTGGTTCCTCGGTAAAAAAGGGGGCAAAAGTAGCCTATATTACAGACTATATTGTATTTATGTACGTATGGCGATGGATTAAGAATACGGAGTGTCACCACCCTTATTTACACCGTAGGTGTCGTAAGAGCCGGCTAAGGCAGCAAACTACGCAGGACAACAGCACTACAAAGAGAAGGAAAACTTGACACAAACCCTGTACCAACCCGCCTGGCCAGCGTGGTATAGTAGGCCAAAACCTCCTTTCTAAGGAGAGGATGATGATCATGATGATACAAACTTTCAAACTGAAAAAATAGTAAGATTTGTATCAGTATCACCGGTCATTAGATGGGTATTACTGCAGCGATCCCACTAATGAGACATTTTGTAGTCTTTATCTAAAATAAATAAAATTAACACAACTAATAAAAACTCAAATTGTTTATTTAATATTGAATTACTTACGGTTATCACTGAAGTCGTCCACTAGAATAATTTCTTTGATGAGGTGCTCCGGACTTCTATTTAAAACACTGAAACAAAACAATCAATTAATATAACGCCATAGTCTTCTTGTGCTGGAACTCCTAATGACAACCGTTGTTCATGGAAACCTTCGAGCTCGGGAGACAAAAATACGTTGTCGCCGTTTTAACCCAAGAGTTAGGGCGGGGGGCACCCGAAAACGGTTTCATTTAGTACGACCTCTCGAGTGTTACTGATGACGGAAAGTCCTATCTTTCAGAAAATTGTTTAAAACTAAGAAAGGGGACACATCAAACCATGACTAGAAAATATGGTCGTAGAGATGCAAGAGCTAATGTTACAAGATGGTTATAGATATTGATAGCCGTTTCTGTCAAGCAAGCCGTTTGCTTGATTGTAAGCCGTTCATCACTTGGTCTATAATCTGGTGGAGCAAATAAGCTAAATCGGTTTATGCCATGTAGTTTCCGTGTAGTCACGGATTAAGAATACGGAATGTCACTGCCCCACCGACTAAGGGCGCAAAACAACGCAGGACACCAGCACCTCGAAAAGAAGGAAAACTTGACACAAACCCTATACCAACCCGTCTGGCCAGCGTGGTATAGTAGGCCGAAACCTTTCCTATTAAAGCGTCCAGCATTGGACTATTAAAGACTGTTGATGATGATGGTCGTGCCATATTGGTACATATATGTTGAATGGCCCTCGTTATTGGGACAAAAAAATAATCATGGGACGTCTTATTAAATAACTTTTGCCTATGCTTACCCAAAAGTCAAGTAAGTGCACGTTGCTTAGTATATTTTTGGATACATCTAATAATAAATATGTACCATTAAATCATTCAAATTGTTTGGTTGCTTCTGTACAAAACAACACAAATTTGTTTTGTTAATAAAGCTGAACTTCAATGTGAGAACAGCTCATTGTTCAGTAAATATTTTAGTAAGTACTTGTTACGGTGAGTACTCAAAAGCGTTCGCAGGAAGATAAATGTACACAGTTAAATAAGCCATGAATAAATTTGGAATGAGGTCTTTTCTGTACAAACTGTTTATAGAGGGCGCTGTGATCAACAACACGAGAAACTACAGACCACTGTAATATATTTTCTAATCGTTTGAGTGTCTTGGAATATTGTATTGGTTTTAAATTATTGTATGAAAATTTATCAATCCTTAATGCATTTGAATTATATTCATCGTCATCGTCGACAGCCCATAAGGGCCTACTGCTGAACATAGAGCTCTCCTTAGAAAGGGTAATTTGGCCTACTAAGCCACACTGTACGTGTGGTCACGAATTAAGAATACGGAGTTTCACCACCCCTATTCGTTCCCTATTCATCGGAGTCGTAAAAGCCGACTAAGAGAGAAAAGAGAAGGAAAACTTGACACAAAACCTATACCAACCCGTCTGGTCAGAGTGGTAGTAGGCCAAAACCTTATTTCTAAGGAGAGGCCTATGTTTAGTACTAGACTATTATAGGCTGTTGTTGATGGTGATGATGATGATACCACGCCGGCCAGACAATAATCGTGATACACCGTAATGAACTATATACTCCAACCCTTAAATTTCACCCATATTCTTTATTACATATTTTGACAAGTTCAATATTGAATACAAGCAATCCAGACGAGCCTGTTAATGTAGTGGTAAGCGATCCTAACTGATAAGCCAGAGATCGTGGGTTCGATTTCCACCCAGGACAAATAATTGGTTGATGAACATGATTTTCTGCCTGGGTGTAATTTATCTATGATATGTATGTATTTAGAAATATTTAAGTATATTTATCAGCAGTCTGGTTACCACAGTATATATAGTACAGGCTCTGCTTAGTTTGGGATCAGGTTGCCAAGTGTGAGATGTGTGAGGTGAGGTTATTATTATATTATTATATATTTTTCAAGTCGTTATAAAGATAAGAGTTAAATACGAGTACGCCAAAATGGAATGAAAATAATTGTTAAAACCTTTCAGTTATTTTCCGTTACTCTGTGAATCCACGTAATTTAAAATATCACTACTTAAACATTTTATTTCAGGACCCAAAGAGTACATCAATTCATCGTAAGTGACTACTGATTGTATGGAATCACATCACACATCAACAGCCTATAATAGTCCACTGCTGGACATAAACCTCTCCTTAGAAAGGAGGCTTTGGCCTACTATACCACGCTGATCAGACAAGATCGTAGAGGAATGTATTAAGTAAATACAAACCATAAGTTAAAATAATAAAGTATTCACCATCACAACAAATACACTCAACTAAAATCCGCCCACAGGTATAATGCCTAGTAGCACTCCAATTGTATCCTTATATCGTATCCTATACTAGGAGTTGTTACTGTAATCATCACACCACATCAACGGCCTTAAACAAGCCATTGCTTATAGGGCTCTCCTTACAAAGGAGGTTTTGCCCACTATACCACGCTAGCCAGATAGGTCGATATGTGTTAAATTCGCCTTCTATGGCAGTACTGTTATCCTCCGTAGTTTGCTCCCTTAGTCGGCTCTTACGACACCCATGGGATGAATAGGGATGGATATACTCAAATTAGTGTATAATATACATACGGAAACTAATCATCACATCACTAAAATAGTTACTTCTAAAGCACCTCTTGACTCGATCTAAATGGGTAGAGATTAAGTGAAAATGCCTTTGAAGGTTAGTAGCGTTCAATGTTACAAAGGGTACGCTGTATTATAACGTCATTTATTTTACATTCGGGCGGAAAATCCGGGGATAATCCCTTACCAAGCTTTGTGGTAATTAGGCTAAAGCCGAAGTGAGTTCGGACGTCAGTCAAAAGGCTTTTTATTCCAGTCTTCTCTAATTAAGGATTTAGGGTGGATACTGCAATTTTGATAAGTACCTACTGTCAGCAAAATTAAAGCATTGCCCTTTTACGTAAGAAGCGCAGGCATTGGTTTTTAAAACATGTTTTTTTTTAGCAATAGAACACACAGACTTAACGTTGTCCAATAATAAAAAATAAAAATAAGTAAAAGAGGTAGTTAAGATAAAAAAAGGCGCCATGTGATAAGGCAAAACTACACAAGTTACAGCAAAGCAAATAAATGTTATACCATAAGTAGTATGGATTACCTGACGATAGTTCGTAGTAACGTAGACCTGGCTTCATTGTGGAACGTAATGATGACGCTGGTTTCTGGGAGGTCCTCGTCATATTTCTTAAGCTTGCACCTGAAAATACAAAACACAATTAAATCCCTGTATTGAAAATAGACGTTTAACAACGCTCTGTTTGATTCATATTTACAAAGTAATTTTCAAATATCAAAGCGAGAAATACAATTTCTGACGTCCATTATGTGCTTGGAACTTGATATGATATAGTTCCAAGCATCTACGAAAGAGCGTACTCCTTCCAAAAAGGGCGGCAACGCGTTTGTGACTAGTGAGTTGCAGACGCTTATGGGCGGCGATGGTCACTTTCCATTCGGGGACCCGTCTGCTCGTCTGCCCCCTCTAACATAAAAAAAAAACACATGGATTAAAATATTGTCTTAAGTATAACTAAAGGCTGTACAGACAACATGTAGCAATCAAAATAAAGAAAACAGCGAAAGTAATTTTCACCGCTAGATTAGGTTTCTCTTGACCGTAGCGGCAAATGCTTTACGGCAGTCATTACCTACTAGGAAGATATAGTCCATTGTAATCTAGTTATTTTTCTTCGTTTTCAAAAAGACAACTCCCGCACTCCCGGGACTTTACAAACATATGAAACGGACACAAAGAAGATCCAGACTCAAAACAACAATTTATGGATCATACAAAGTGTTATCCCATGTGGAGCTTGAAGCCACAACACTAAGCGAAGTGACCGTTTAAACCACTACGCCATGTGTGAGATCAAATTGAGGGACTATTTTCTCAAAATTCTCAAACAATTGTAAATTGAGCCTCTGGTTTGTAAAAGTAGCCTAGCCAGTTACAAACAATCAAGGGTGGTCCCTCAGTCGTGCAGACATCCATATATCATAACCTGGTTAGAATTTACAACTGCTATTAATGACTACTCTTAGTAAAAGATGTAAAACTAATTTATTAAATACTCTACTATACTATACTATTCAGAAATACCTACATATGGTTATCCGAAGTCTGAATATCATATTACAGGCCCTGCCTAGTTTGTGATTAGACAACCATATATGAGATGTCGCTGTTCTATTATTATAGTCTCTTTTTATGGTATAAGGGGGCAAACAAGCAGACGGGTCACCTGATGGTAAGAAACTACCGCTGCCCAGGGACACCTGCAACTCAAAAGTCATAAGTGTGTTGCCGCCCTTGGAGTCCCTTCCGCTTAAGTGGGCTCAAGGGAGGGGGGATTTGGGCTCCGGTAACCTCACTCACTCACTCAGTGAAAGGCAACGAAAGAATTGCTTAACACCGGTTTTCTGTGAGGCCGTGATGCACTCTATCCGATAGCCCAGAAGACAAGCTCTGAGAGGACTACTGAAGACGTACCGTGTACCACAGACGCCAATCATTTTAAGCGCTCAATGGCATTGTGGTTTTAGTCTGTTTTAATCTCTCACAACCGTCAATACCCGAAGGTATAATAAACACTTCTGACTGTAACATATACACATATGAGTATTAGCTTACGGAAACCGATACGAGAAGTTGTGACAACACAAGATATAATGATAGGTCTGCACTATTATGTCGCATTATAATTAACTGCTTTTTCCATGTACGCCATAGTCTGTTCTGTGACACAAAATAGTGTTCGCTTCATCTGTAGAGTAAGCACGTCTCAAGAATTAAAGTTAAGACCCTGCGCTATTAAGAAGATAAACTTTTAAGGCGATTTCTGTGAACGGTTAAACAACTTATAGATTATGTTAGTTCACCTTGTAACATTTGATTTTCTTTGGTATACATTTCATTACAGGTCAATAATCTGTATTATCTATAAGTATGTTTTAAAAAGTATCACCGGCCTTAAATTAAACTAACCTTGAGTACAACAATATCAGTTTAAAACATTTTTTTTCTTTTTATTTAGACTTATTGCATAAACCGGACTTAATGCCGCAGGCATTTTCTACTATGCAACCTTTTAGTGATGCAGAGCTTTGTTATTTGGGACTAATCCCTCCCACACTCCCATCACTGTAACTCCTGTACACCAGGATCAACAGCAGTGACCCACGAATACACCGAGTTATGACTCTCGCGAAGTCTCAGGTAAAGTTAAACTGTCTTGGAACCATGTTGAAAAGCTGTGTGAATTATTGAAATTAGTTAACAAAAGTGAACACATCGTGTTTCCATAGACACAACAAATCATTCAGTCGAAATCAAAACGTCCCATTAGAGATATCGGACTAAAATATTGAAAAAAATTTAAACATTGTTACCAGTAACCAAATGCTGATCAAAATTTAATTTAAAAAATCACACAATCAACATAAAATTATCAAACATTAGTAGGGAAATTATTGTACTTTGTTACATATGTGTTTGTAGGAAACATATACTAATTAAGCACCTATGGAAGTTGTCTATGGCATATCATTTCAAAAAGATTTTTTTAGGAAAAAAACTTTATTATCGTTTAAATTTTTGGATATTTTCTTGTCTCTCACAAACGATAGTATGACTGATACTTGTAAATTTAAAATGGTTATAACTTTTAAACGGTTTTCCAAATTAATTTTTGCAGGTACATGCATGCTAACGTCCTTTCAGCTATTTTCAACTAATAAGTGTTCTGTTTATTGGTACATCCGATATAGTCTACATATAAATATATATTAGTATGCATGTAGTTATATGTATATAAAGATGTAAGAAACAAAGAAAGTCAAAGAACTCATTTAGTTAGTGCTCAAATAAAGACAATATCTCTGTATGAGCTGAAAATGGTCCTACGCTCAGTATTGTGCTGCTTCGTTATAAGCAGCGCTGGTATTATACTAACCTATGGTGAATTACACGGCGTCAGCCATCGCCTTGTTTTCACAATGAGCGAAAAAAAAGCTAATAATAATATTGTATATACAATTATGTGTCAAAATTAGACTCGTAACTTATCTTTAAGTTTTTTAAATATAATATCATAATTTGAACTTGATTTTTAAATAAATAGCAAGAGGTGAGTTTGCTAAGAAACTAATAAGGTCCTAGGGTCACAAATTCAACACTTTACCTGTTTCTTAGCGTACGCTTTCTTTACATCTACATTAACAATTTTTTTTATTTAAAAATTGTAGATAATTGTTGATACATCTTAAGCTTATGAATTTTAAATGTCACTAAAAACCTGTTTTCATGACCACGACACCAATATAATAAGAGTCATATTATTTTGCGTCAAGATCACTAGCTCAGCTTGATGCCTTTGATTGTCCTTAAGTCAGTGTTTCAAGATAGCTCCGAAATTCATGAACTAATATGAATATTGCTTTTATAAAACTGACATATTATCTAGAGTAGACTTTAACTGCGTTTAAAAGCAATCTGTAATACAGCTATAGAGCTTTTTCATTCATATGTCAGTTATTACCTTATTATTGCATAATTGGCAACCATTGACCTAACAGACAAGGTCAACGAGGTGCGCAGCGGCCCTGGAGGTCACTGGATCTCCGTTTGTTTGCGTTAGCTTGCGTAACGTGTTTGACACTGCACTTATTTAACGTAGGTAAGTCGTTTCGGGATAATAAATCATGTGGTAGACTTGGTTATATTAGCTATATATTTATAATCTCTAAAAAGAAAACATGTAGATGGTTGTAAGATCCGTGTGGTGACGGATTAAGAATACAGAGTGTCACCACCCCTATTCATCCCGTGAGTGTCGTAAGAGCCGGCTAAGGGAAAAAACTACGCAGAACAACAGCACTGCAAAGAGAAGGAAAACTTGACACAAACCCTATACCAACCCGTCTGGCCAGCGTGGTAAAGTAGGCCAAAACCTCCTTTCTAAGAAGAGGCTTATGTCCAGCAGTGGACTATTATAGGCTGTTGATGATTGCATATAAATAATGATAATTCAAATAACAAGGTAAAAATTGCCTTTCAAGTGACAAAATGTTCAAGTTTCTCAAAAAAAGTGAGAAAAACTGTTAATTCATGAAAAAAATTAGAAAGAACTGTTAATGTTATTTCTTTTATTTACCTTAAACCGAGTCAATTTTAACTTTAAATAATTACTGAAATACATTGCATAAATGCCCTCTATCTCAAATTTATAATTTGAATGATTTTTTTGGCGAAATGCGCTTTGTTTCTTTCCCTTTGCGAGGCGACATGGCGTTAATGATTTCCTTGACAGAAGTTAAGGACCTTCATTAATAAAATTGAAAGGCTAATGAGGGTCTTCCAAAACGAAGTTTATTGATAAAATAATTACATCGTAATAGCACAAGGCTATGTATAACATCACAACGGGGAATCTCAAACATGTTATTGATATCGAAACGAAAACATTTATTGCACGGATGGCGTTGTGGTTTAAGCGGTCGCATCGCCGCTTTCTACTGCGCGAGTGTTATAGGTTCAAACCCCACATGGGACGACACTTTGTGTGATCCACAAATTGTTGTTCTGAGTCTGGGTGTACTTTGTGTCCGTTTCATGTGTGTTTGTGAAGTCCCCCGTGACACAGGATTTATTTCTAGAGCGGGAGTTGTCTTTTGTAAAATAGAAATAGATAAAAATAGATTTCTGATTTTATTCTCATTTTGTCGCTTTATAAGGTGATATAAGTTTTAATACTAACGCAATTTGAATACACTAAAGGCAATAGATACAACCTTTGTCGTTTACGGTTGCATTCGGAACAGAAACAAATAGAAAAACCCAATCAATGCGTCATCTCACCGACTTTTTACAAAATGATTTACGACCTATGCTATTATGCTTAGCGCGATGGACATCAATTCGACTGCATCATCATAGATTACGGGTTTGAATCCCCCACACATTAATACTTGTGTCCACGAACTAGATGAAAGTAGATAGTACTTGCATCGGTCTGAGTTTTCCACTTTACTATCAGAATTTTTCTTCTTTTCTTAATTATACTTAGTTATAAGTTAAACACAGTTGTAGAAAGCAACCTGTTCTAGGACAATTATGGATTATACTGCATTATGTTAAGAAATCTACTCACATCGCATTTCTCGTGTCCGGCACGACCCTATTACTTGATAAATTGTCAGACGCGATTTGGTTGAATCTGTTTCTAACGTAAGGATCAGAGTCTTTGGAACCGCCACTGACGTAGCCCGCCTCGTCGAAGTAGACTCTTCCTGTAATCCCTGTGGTCTCTTCGAGAGATATTGGACTGCTCTCCGGTTCTTCGACATCAGCATGTTGTTTGATGAGTCGGAGTGCTATATTCTCTTCCTGTAACAAGGAAATATAAGATTTAAGACAGGATCTCGAAAGTTAGCAAGTTTTTTTAAGGTTAAAAAACAACTTCTCTAGTAAGGTTCAAATTTTTTTTTTAAATAACATTTGGTCGAATGAAGTAGAATGAGAAACCAATTTTATTTTTTAGGTACATAGCAAATGTTACGTACCTAATAACCGTACTATCACGTAACATTCAACATTGAAGACAAGTCTAGGTACCGTCCCAGACTTGTCTTTAATCAACGTTTAAATTATTACTAATTTTAACCTACCGGTTCTTCTCTGACCAAGCCTTAAAAATGCATAAAAATTTCATAAATAAATACATTTAGTTAATATATTATGTTTACGTCGACGAAAACGATATTAAATTACTACCTAGTCATAACTTACAAACATTAGTTGTGATATTACTTAATTAATTCACACTAGCTAGTGCCCGCTACTACATTCGGAATTTGAAAAGTGCTGCCTTAATGGATTCGATTCCCGGACGGGGCCAAATTTTATATAGACAGACAGACTAGGTATCGTACAAATAACCGTGTGAGTATGAGAAAAACCTATTATTTTGACATTACAAACAGAAATTTCAATTTCATTTATTTTAGATATGCTCATGCCTTCTCTCCAAAATAGTCGGCAACCCTAATTTGGCCTCTCTAACGTAAAAGAGAACAAGCCTAGAAAGCCCATTTTGAGAATTAAAAATGGGAAAATTAGTAGACGAAGGAAATGCATTGGAAGTTGAGGTTATTTATTGAACACAGGAGGATGGATGCCTCTAATTGTAACTTAATCAAAACAAATGTTTATGATAAAATATCTATTATGCAACTAATATCTTTCATAACTTATATTTGATAACATAAATGTAAAACTTAAATATTGCATAAGTACCTATCTAATTCGTCGGTCGTTTATTATTATTAATTTATTGTACAATTAAATGTACGCCTCGAGGGCTATGCAGAGCAATCGAAAGCAGTTTTTAGACTCGTAACAGGCGGTGTCGAACCACAATCTTAACAGTAATAAATATGAATGATCAATACAATGAACGTCCTAGTAAAAATATATAGTAACAGTATGATATAAAAACTTCAATGTATAGCGTAGGTATATAGATTATTACTTACAACAACAGAGCGCATTACGATCGTGGTACCTGTTTCACATGCACGTTTTTGAGAGTGACAAGGACAGGCGCGCAAATCACGTATTTAAGAAAAGTTCAAGCTTATCTAAAACATTGTACAAAACGATAAGTATTTATCGAATGTATGGCTTTTAATGCTAATTTCTAATGCTGGTGTAAAAGGTCTATTGACATCTGTGCTTATATCTACATTAAAATTTGAAGCACGCTTGGTTGGGACTACTTTTTAAAGACCTTTCACATATCTATGTATGATATATATAATCAAAGTGGTTTTTAAAAATGTCTTTCTCTTTTCAACCTGTTAGATGAATTTTACCCTTTATACTGTGTGTAAAATAAAGTAATCTTTTTTGCTTTGATTGAGTGGATACAGTTGTTGTCTGGGAGGGGTCCAGAAGGAGATAACTACCTGGACCCCCCCTAAAATAGAAGCGCAAAGAGGGCACACCATGTGGTTTTAGTCGGTTCGAGTCCGACACACCGCCCCGCCGAACAGAGAACCCCGGCGGGGTGACGGTCTGAGGGGATTTCCACACGTTAAAAAAAAAAAAGGTACATACTCGTTGTATTATAGTAACATCAATCAGCCCATTTTGGACATAAAATAATTTAAAGATTAAGAAAAGAAGGAATTACAATATATTGAATATATCTATAGATGTTTAGACTCTAAAAATTCTTTAACAGTGTCCTCCTCCTGTTTTATTTTGTCTATAAGTTGATCTGGAAGGGATGGATGTCAAAGTAGAATTGAGGTTGTTGATTTCAACGCATAGGTTTCGGTTTGACAGGGAACTTTCTATCCATTCCAGCGCAGGTCTCCGGATTCCATATCGTTCCCATTTGTTTATTAGGATTGAATGGTTGACAAAGTCAAACGCTTTCGACATATCTAGAAATTTTCAGGTACTGGAGTTTTACTACCAATGTTTTCTCTTATAGTCTTCATTAGGGTTGTTGACTTGTTTTTTTGAAAACCATTCTGCTCCTCTTTTATAACATAAAATACTTTTAAGAAAATTGGTATTAATGTTATCGGTCCATAATTACCTAGTTCCAGGACCATCTTTTTAGTTGAGAGGCTTTACGAATGAAAATTTAAGTTTAGTAAGGAGTAGTAGTAGTAGTAGTAGTAGTTTGTAGTTTTTATTTTCCAAGTATGCAAGAGGTGTTGATGTTATATCTGTGAATGATTTTAGCACGCTCGTAGAGATTGAATCATATCCTACTGACTTTGTATCATTAAGATCTTTAGTCATTTTTGTTACCTCAACTTGTAAGAACATAGAGGAGGCTACAGTATTGATACTGTTAAAATTACATTTAACACTACTGTTCAAAATATTTATTGTAGTAGAGTATTTTTTTTAAGTTTTTGCAATGTGGTTAGAAATCGGTTATAATTTTGCTGTTATATTTTATTTATTTAATGCTTTGATGACTATTTACGGTATCGGTTTTATTTTTGATAATATCCCAAGACGCCTTACACTTATTTTTAGCTTATTACGTCATCAATCATCATCAACAACCTTTAATAGTCCACTGCTGGACATAAGCCTCTCCTTAAGAAGGAAGTTTTGGCCTACTATACCCCGCTGGCCATACGGGTTGCTCTAGGGTGTCCTCGTGGTGCACCCTGGAAACGCTGGCGATGGTACTGTTTCCTCCTTGTCCTCTTGGAGGAGAGGATTATCGCCAGCGGCCAATATTCTAGCAGAAGAGGCAGCCGTTCATCGGCTCTCGGGCAAGGCCTGGTCCAGCAGGGTGGGCGTGTCTGCCGGTTGCCCTGCTGGCTCTTCGCTCTTCGGAGCATGGAGGAGGAAACCTCGGTAAAAAACCTGATGGCGGGGCCCTGTAGGGGCCACAGTTTTCTCCGCTGATAGCGGTGGAGAAAGGAGGACGGGCTCGGCGTGTACTCACACTACCACCGAGCAGGCAGGGGGACGTAGTCTCCCTGTCAACCGTCGGCATATCGTAATCCCGAGAAGAGCGCTGTGGTTAAGTCTCGCGGCTCTGATCGGGGACGAGGGTCTTGGCTTAACCGCCCGGACAGCGAGGAAGATAACCTCTCTAAAAAATTCCCCGAATCCCGTGTTCTGGTGCGTGGCCAGGGGATGCATGGCTGATGGGAAGTTCAGTCGCGAGCGCACTCCAAGCCGAGGTACCTGCGGTCCCCTCGGTTGGGTTAAAAACTTACGCTTGCCCGGGTAATGGGGGATCTCTGCCCGGGTGGACCTTTAGTTCTCCCCCACTCGTGGGATCAATTATGGACAATAATCAAACTCAATCAAAGAAAACGATCGGAACAAAACAACAACCAAAGGCAAGTCTAACGGCAACGAAGGAAACGAAGGCAAGGAAGGAAAAGAAGAACAGTGGAGCGGATGGGTCGTCCACTGAGGGCGAGATGGTGTCGGGAACGCCTATCTCGATGGGGCTCCCAGAGGTCAGTCTGACTCTGGTCACTGGGAGCCGAAGAGCATCGGATCGGCTGCGTTCCGGATCCGCCGCTTCATCGGATGGCGCGGAGGCCATGGAAGCGGAGCGGAGCGACAGCCGGAAACGCGGACGCTCAGGGGACGTGGAATCCGACACGTCCGGCGAAATGATGCCACCAAAGGTGGCAAGCAGCCGCCGAGGGAGGGCGCGCAAACCGGCCTCGGCCCCGGTCTTAACCCCGTCAGGCTCCGCGTTCTCAAACGCGGAGTCCTACAGAAGTGTACGGGTGGACGGCGAGGCCGTAGCGGAGGAGGAGATCGCGGATCTCCTGCTCAAGGTTCGGGAGCCGGTGGGGGGAAATGCCCCCCAGGCTCCCGTGTCCGTGCAGGAGAGGGCGAAAGCGGCGGTGGCCGTCATCAACAAGGTGGCCACCAAATCCGTGAACCTTAAGGGCTCGTTTGTGAGGGCCCTTAAGGACTCCTCCTCCGCTTTGTCGGAGGTCGTGGAGGGCCTAGCGGGCGACGTCTCTCGCCTGCAGGTGGCCAACGAGAAGCTGACGGAGCGGGTGAACGAGCTGAGCGCTCAGTTCGCCCGCTTCCAGGCGAACCTCCCCGAGCGGGAAGCCCCGTCCGCGTCCCAGCCTGCCCCTACCACCAACTCAGGGGCATTTGACTCCCAACTGCGAGAAATCCTCATCGCAATTGGGAATATGCTGGACGGACGCCTGGCTGGCCTGGAGGCGAGACTGCCCCCTGCGCCGAGTATGCGCCCCCCGCTCGCGTCGGCACAGCGGCCTAAGGCCGCCGCTCCGACCGCGCTGCCCGTAGTGGGAGGCCGCGTCTCCTACGCGGCGGCGGCGTCTGCCCCGACTCCATCGGCTCCCCAAAAGCCGAGGAGGGGGGCCAAGGCACCGGCCCAGGCGCCGGCCAAGGCACCGGCTAAGGCGCCGGCCAAGGCACATCCCCAGGCGCCGGCCAAGACGGGGCCTAAAACGGCGCCGAGGAGCGGAGTGGCATTCCCTCCGCTCCCCACTCCGACACCCCTGCCGGGCCCCTCCGCACCTGCCCCCTCCAACGAGGGTTGGCAGGAGGCGAGGGGCTCCAAGAAGTCCCGAAGGCGGGCCAAAAAGGCTGCCAAAAAAGCAGCCCAGGCCCAGCCTTCGCCACCGGTGGCAACGGCCTCCACAAAGAGGCCGCGGAAGCTGCAGCCGCCCAAAACCGCGGCTGTAGTGGTGACCGTGTCCCCGGAGGCGGCGGACGGCGGGCTGTCCTACGCGGCCGTCTTCAAAAAGGCCCGGGACAGCCTCGCCAACGACTTCGGAACGGTGGGGGTCAGGATGCGCCTCGCCCAGACGGGAGCTCGAGTTCTCGAGTTCCCTGGGGCTGAAGGCGCAAAGACGGCGGACTCCTTCGCTGAGAAGCTGCGGGGAATATTTGCAGCCACAGATGGTGTCAGGGTCGCCAGGCCTACCAAGTGCGCGGAACTGCGCATCTCGGGCCTGGACGACTCAGTGACGGCCGAAGATGTCCGCGCTGTAATCCGGGAGAAGACGGGGTGCAGCGCGGACAACGTCAGGGTCGGCACCATCCGCCCCGGTCCAGGAGGGCTTGGCGCCGTGTGGGTCAGCTGTCCCGTAGCGTCGGCCAAAGTATTGGCCGACGCCGGCAGGCTGCTCATCGGTTTCGTGAGCGCCAGGATCACAGTCCTGGCGGCGAGACCGATGAGATGCTACAAATGCCTGGCATCGGGACACACGCGCGTCAAGTGCGACAGTTGTTTTGACTGCGGCGGACTGTGTTTCCGCTGCGGTCAACCGGGGCATAAGGCGGCAGAATGCTCTGCCGCCCCTCACTGCCCAGTGTGTGCGGCGGGCAATAAGCCCGCCAATCACCAGATGGGGCAGAGAGGCTGCAAGCCTCCCCGCAGTTCTCGGCAGACGTCGGGGGTTAGCCAGTCGACCCAGGCTGCCTCCGATGTAGTTCGTGCGTCGACGTCGTCGCCCATGGAGGAGGTTGTAGAGACGATCCAGTAATGGATCAAGTCTCCAACCTCCTGGTCCAGACGAACCTGAACCACTGTGCCGCGGCGCAGGATCTCTTCCTGCAAACCATGGCACAGTGGTCGATAGGTGTTGCCGTAGTCGCGGAGCCCTATTCTGTCCCTCCCCGTCCAAACTGGATGGGTGACTGGGACGGCTCCGTGGCAGTCGTCGGTTCCACGACGGCTCATTCCCCGCCCTTGTCGCTAAGAGACAAGGGCACTGGATATGTTGCCGTCGAGTGGGGGGGGATCACCATATATGGTGTCTATTTCTCCCCCAGCCGGAGTTTGAACGACTTCGAGGTTTTCCTAATCAGCTTGGAGACCTCGATACGGCGACTAGCGTCTGGGCACGTCCTTGTGCTGGGGGACTTCAACGCAAAGTCCATTGCGTGGGGTTCCCCCAGGACGGACGCCAGGGGCGAGGCCGTAGAGGAGTGGGCGGCCTCGGTGGGCCTCTGTCTTCTAAACAGAGGCTCCACCAACACGTGCGTGCGACAGCAGGGGGGG